GCTTCAAACTTAGGCGCTTCCAATTACTACCAAGGTTCAGTTCGCTTTTTTCACCTGAGCTTTGCTTAACTCACAGTTTGGAGCCTTGGAGATCTTTTGGAAGCATTTAAAAAGTTTGATCATGATCGCTTGCTCCGGCAGTTGTCTCTGGATGCCATACTGGCTCCACGGCAATGGTACCTTTCAGGGAAGAAGGTGATCCTCAATTCCTTGGCCGTTGCCTTGGAAGAGGCTCTCCTCAGCTCCCCAGGCTGGGGGTCTCCTACAGAGACTCCAGGGAGGTCCGCGATGAACTCGGACCCCTCCAGTCAGCCAGGTCTTGGCGTGTCTCCATCAGAACAAGACAGGACGCGTCCAAGCGGCGAAGCGCTTAAACCGGAAGTTTCTACTTGTATGGTGAATTTCTAAAAGGATTCTTCAACTTTCACAATGCTCCTTGAAAGTAATGTAAGGATTGTAATACAATCCCCAACAAATATTAAGATTCCATAGTCTTAAATCCCACCACTTAGGCACAACATTAAGAGCTAATCACCACAAATTTAACATAAAATATATATATTTCTGGTTTTTCTTGATACAGAAATATTTTATATACTTTTATTGTTAAATTATAATATTTTGTATTATTATTCTTCATTCTTCTTTCATTATTACTCAGTATTATTCATTATGCTCATCTGTTTTATGAATTACATTTTGAAATACTAGATTACTTCAGCACTACCAAAGAAGCAACACATTTTGTACAGCAATTCATTAAGCGGTAACTGAAATTGCTTATTGTAATCATTTCACCATTAACTTCAAACTATAGGCTTCTAGAGACCACAGTCCAGAGTGTAAGTTTAATCAAAGCCTTATGTTTAATTGTAACAAAATAACCTAAAGGCAGGATAAAAATATAAAATACATGCTGCTTGATTAAAGTGTTGACCTAACATATTCAATAATAATAAAACCAGAAAAAGGAAATTCCTTAAGGTATAAAACCATGTTACTAATGAAGTTTCCAGGAATCTGTGGGAAAAGTTTGCACCAGCTTTGACAGCTATCCTTTTGAAGGCCTTGGTGAACAGTCAATTCGCTAAAACAAAAGATGCAAGAGATCCCAAGCAACTTTCCTGCTACTTTTCTAGCACATGTTTCCTTTGATTACATTCTAATTTCTTTACTTAATTTATTGGCTATTGAGATTCAAAACAGACTCCATAACTAGAAAACAATGCAACAAACCAGTATAATGTATAGAAGAGGATTGGATTTATATCCCGCCCTTCACTCGGAGTCTCAGAGCGGCTTACAAACTCCTTTCCCTTCCCCTCCTCACAACAGACACCCTGTGAGGTAGGTGGGGCTGAGAGAGGTCTTTGAAGAACTGTCCTTGAGAGAACAGCTCTGACAGAACTATGGCTTACCCAAGGTCATCCAGAAGCTGCAAATAGAGGAGTGGGGAATCAAACCTGGTTCTCCCAGATTAGAGTCCATGCACTTAACCACTACACCAAACAATAATCAATGCAGCAAAGACAAACAATACAATATTTTAAAAATTCACAGACTTTGAAACTAAAACCCTATTCGCTTTGTAAAAAATGCATGAAGGGATAAGTCATGGATGTGTATAGACTTGTATCAACACTGAAAGACTGCAACATAAATCAGATCTATAAAATGTGTTATACTGGGTAGCAGCAATTAATATTTTCTCCATGACCAAGTCTGCAAATGCAGCAACATACCTATTCCAGGTGTTGTACATATGAAGACAATACATGTGAGTTGGACCCATATCCATCCTGGCTAATGAAAGCCAAATGGGAATAGTGGGCTACTGGCCGCAAATTATTTGAAGCATTAGAATCCCCACCCGCAATTTAGCTATGGATTTAAGGCCTACTACTGCCCTGTCTTCAAAAATCTCTTTCTGGGAAAGGGTAATGTATAAGTGGTTGCCCAGAAGCTTGCATAACCTCATCCAAGTACTACTAATTGCGTGAATACTAATTGCCTTCCCTTCACTCCTGGAGGCATGCAGCCTCTGCGGTGTGACTCAGAGAGGGAAGGGGAAGCGTTTAAAAATCCCCCCCTTCACTCTCCAGAGTCGCACCGCCTCAGCAGTACACATCCAAGCAAATTGCCTTCCCTTCACTCCTGGAAGTGTGCCACTGCTGTGGCACAACTCAGGGGAGGGGAGGCATTCTAAAAAGTTCAATAGGGAATGCCTTTTCCAAGTTGCCACTACAGCGCAACTGGGAGATACAGCTGGCCCAAATAAAAGCCAAATGATATCAGCCTTTATTCGGGCCAGCTATATCGGTAGCCAAATTAGACTGGAGAATCTAATTCGGCTGAATAAATACCCAAATAATACCGATAAGATATTATTTGGCTATTCATTCAGCTTGGTATATACCGAATGCACACCCCTAGTTCTCACAACCTGCTTGTGTTCCAAACAACTTCCTATTTGGGCAGCCTTTCAGTGTTCCAAGATAAGGCAGGGAAACATAAAATTAAATTACACTATTTTCTGATCTGTCCTAGTGTTTTGAAATGTACAGACCTATAAATCTAAAAATAGTAGGGTTACTTGCAGCTGAACAGGCAGCTCATCATCCTGATCATCTGCTTTCTTTCTGTTAGCTAGACTTCCATAAAACCCATCAGAAAATGGTTGAAATCCCAGCTGTGATATCCCACATATGAAACATCCTCCCCACATCCATCTATTTGGCAATTAATCTTTTGCAGTTTTGATGGCAGCTTTGAATGTCCAAGCATTTTGTAAATGATATTTTTCTCTTTGCTGTGAACCACTATTTGTTAACTACTGAACAAAATTTCTACCTTGCTGAGTTTCTCACAAAGCTGCTTTATTATTTTATATATATTGTTCCTGAAGTTTTAATGCTGTAATTGGCTGCTTAAAATATTTATGTTTTTGTTTTACTCTATTTTATTCTGTGCTTTTTTGTTTTCTAACATTACATAGTTTTTATATTTTTACTGATTTAATAACGTTGATTGTAACAGTTTTTATCTTACAAGAGCTGGCTCAAGCAGGTACCTGAAGTGGCCTATAAAATGCATAAATTATCTAAAAATAATCTGATTTTAAAAAGTCTCACCCTAGCTAAAAATGGTCTCAAAGTGCTCTAGACAGGACAAGCCTCCACTGATCCATGCTCCTTGAAGTACATTAGCATAATTCTTCATAAATTACAGTTGCCTTAAGTTGCCATGCCCTAAACAGCCATCTACAACTTCAAGTCTTACAAACTCAAATTTGGAAGTTCATCTTTGGTCTTCTTTACAGGCACACATTGGGACAGCACATGAGCAGGCCTGCCATGGAGATATTTTCTTCTAGCTTAAAACTCCACTGGGGTTAAATGCAACCCTGTTTTTGTTCATCTCTTCATTTCATCCAACGCACACACATACAAAGCAGCAAAAGGTATGGCAAACAGATCAGCTTATGGGAAGCACACTTACTGACAGGTAGCTGCTAACATCCACATTGTCTGTGATGGTCTGGCGTTCTCCTTTCAGGTTAATTTTCCTAAATCTCCGCCGAGATTGTCGGCGGGGCCCTTCCCTTTGCAGGATGTTGTCTTCATTTTCTTTTGAGTTCTCCACCTGGAATACATGGTCAGAGTCCTGGTTATACATCCAATTCTTCCATATCATCGAAAGCCTATGTAATCTTACTAGGTTCATGAGGACAGGCTCAACATAACTTAGAAATGTCTGTGGGACTTCGTTAGAAGACGTCTATGCAAGTTTCTTAAATTGAGCTATACATCTTCAGTTCTATTATTACAATGAGTTGGGAGGCCACAATTTCCTTCCTGGAAACAGTGTTTAAGAAAGAAAAGAAAAACAACCTGAGTGAGGCCACCTAACTAGCAATAAAACGTATTCATTCAACTTACACTCTGTATAAAAAATAAAATCAGTACACCGTCACAAGGCAGAGAGAGCTTGAAAGGTATATATTGATATTTGTATTTATCTCAGTTACAAAACACTATATTTTCAAAGCCTGCAACTTCTGTGTTGTTTTGCTAAAATATAAGCATGACATATCAGACAAACTCCATTTAAAAGGGTACTAGTAGATGTTAAGACTAACAATATTTCTTAACCACATCTCATACCCTGATTTATCAGGTTGATGTCATTCATCTTGAGCTCGTGGGTAATACTAGTATTTTGTAACATAAAATTTAAAAGGAAAAGGTTCCAGTCGCAACCAAATTGCTAAAACCTTAGCTGTACCCAAGTTTGAAAGATTATATTTTTGGAAGGGTGAGTTGAGGAAGAAACGTATTACCCTCTCATGTCCATTTACACTATAAAAATAGAGTCCTGTCTCCCCATTTCCTTTTGAAATCTCGGCAGGAAACAGCACAGACAGACTCATATATACAAACCACCAAGAAAAGAAGCATCACATTTTCTATGTACTAATTAACTGCATGTTACACACAAGCAAAGGTTTGCTCTAAGAACGACACTTTATTTCTTTAGCAGTGTAAGAAGAGAGGCAGATCAGCTAACAGAGTTACTGTTATATCCATCCTCAAGCAAAAGATCTCACTAGCCTATGCTGTCAGTGAATAGCCAATATAAAGTTTTCCTTTCTATTAATTTTGCCTGCAGGGTTTTTTTGTTTGTTTGTTTGTTTTGCAGTCAACACAGCAATTAGTATTAAAACTATTATAGCAAAAGTTTTGTCACCCAGCGCTTGGTTATCCAGAATGCTCAATTAATCAGCATTGCCCAGGAGGGAAGCTACCCCCCTCAGCCACCATATCCATGCATCTTAAGGCATCAGCACACACCACTCCCCCCACTCCAGTAGCCACCTCAATGCCTCTGGCCATTGCTGGGCTTCTCACAGCCAGCACTGACAACTGATGTCATCCTTGGGTCCCTCCTTCCCCCTCAGACCGCCTCGAGCTGTTGAAAGCCAGTTCTCCCAAAGTACTCTTAGGTAGCTGGCCTGCTTGCTTGCCTGCTACACCGGATGGCTTCTTGTCTCTGTCAAAGTGGGAAGAGTCCTACCAAGCATGGAAGCTGACACCAAGGCATTCCCAACAGGATGGGGTTTGGTAACAGGACAGAGCAGTAAGACTGAATATTCAGCATGTTTAATTAAACAACAGCCCCTATTCCCCATAAGTGTCAGACGACAAAACATTTTACTGTTTTAGGCCAACCACAAGGAGCGGTCCAGATTAGAGTAACTTTTTTCACATCCTATTGATTTCACAGGTCAAGTAAAACAAAATCGCAACTGTTTTCCATTGAAATAAAAGGGAATTAACATTGTTAAACTTTGGCTGGGCTATGCCTGAACGACGTTACAACGGTTATGTAAGGAGCAGGATGGAAATGTACATATATTTGTGTATTATTAAAGGGAACTATTTTGCCATAAGTTCTTTCCATATGAAATACAAGATTATGACAGTCTCATGCAAATCACTACCAACTGGAGTGATTCCTATACTGCTGCTGAGTTGCTGTGGAAATGGGGTATCTCTGTGTGTGCATTAAGTAAAATCAAGTCGCTTCCAACCTCTGGCAACCCTATGAATTCATGACCTCCAAAATGCCCTATCATTAACAGCATTACGCAGGTCTTGCAAATTGAGGGTCGGAGCTTCCTTGATTCAGTCAGTCCATCTCATCTATGTACCTACATAGCGTCCCTAAATTCAGTGTACCAGTATAACTGCTTTTCTTCAGCCTAGCCTGCTTCATGTGGTGCTATATGACCAAGCTCTCAACTGTTGTCATCACAGGATGCAAGAGGGCTGTGCTTAAGAGTTTAGAGTTCAAAAGGAAGCAGAAGGGGATTACAAACAGCAAGTTTTGTCAAGAGTTATTATCTTAGAATCACTTGGTGGGGGCAGTGAAAAGTGCCATCAAATCATAGCTGATGAGTTGGCGATCCCACAGGGTTTTCAAGGCAAGAGACATTCAGAGGTAGTTATCCATTGCCTGCCTCCACATCATGACCCTGGTATTCCTTGATGGTCTCCCATCCAAATATTAGGAAGGGCCAACCCTGCTTAGCTTCTGAGATAGCCTGGGCTATCCAGGTCAGGACTAGAATAGTTTAGGGTTAAAGATCTCTCAAAGGCAATCAGCAAAAATCACTCGAGAAAGCTAGGTGGGAACCAAACTTTTGGCTCGGTGTTGTCAAGTACAGTTTTAAGAGCAATTTCTACAATGTTTGTTACTATAAAAGAAAACACAATGAACAGTTAATGAGAATTACAATAACTACGCCCACCAGCTTCCTTCAGATATTGCCACTATTATGGAACTCAAAATATAATCAGCTGCAAAACTCCAATACAAACATATGTCACTGGCCTATTTGTCTTGAATTCTGTATTATTACTGTGCTTAGGAACCTTTTCTATGATTACAGTTCAATGAAGAATGTTGGTACTTCTGTCTAAAAAGAAAACTAAAGCAAAGGTTCTAACATGCAGAATCTTATAAAACCATTGTCTAGACTCCAGTTAGCCAATATAGATATTATTCAAATATAATCATTTGTTCTTTGTTATAATTTCATTTTAGCACTTTTAACATATAGACTGTTTTACAGTTTGAATTCTATAGGTCTTCAACACATGCCTCTGAAGTAAGCCGCTTATGGGACCAATTCTAAGCAGCTCGACTCAGAAGTCTCATTTTACTCAGTATGGATTACTTCCAGAAAAGTGCTCTTAGGTCCCTGCCACACGGCAGAAAAAAGCATGCGCAGTTCGGCCAGGAGCCGGGGATGCACCGGCGGAAGGACGCACCGGCGATCCCACGGCCAGCCTTGATGTGGACTTGCCGGAAGAACCACCTCGGTAGGTGGTTTATTTTTGCCGTGGCGTTTTGGGCGGAAGGGCCGGATTGGGGACGGGTGCGCAACGCTTCCCAGATGTTGCAATGGGATCGCGCCAGTTTGCTCCGCCCCCAATCCGTCCCTCTCCTGGCCCAAAACCTCTCGTGTGACCGTGGCCTTAGTTTGGCAGCCTATGCTTCTTAACTGCTTTACAGATAGCTAGAGAGACAGAAAAGAAAACCTCCCAACAGCACGCCAGATTTTCTAGGTCCACATTTAACAACTATATGCTTAACCAATACTATCAGTGTTTGCCACAAATACTTGAAAAACTACTGCAAAATTATATAAAACATCTAATTCAATGAGAATCAAAGATGTTTAAGATTAAGCAGTTATTTGGTTAACTTACAAAAATGCATTACTATTTTCATAAAATTGTGGACCAAGCTGCTTTCTAGCAGAAGGAAGTTTAGCTTTTAAAAATGCCCAGTACTGACCAGCTGGCTGTACATTATGCAAGTAAAAGGTTAAGAATGTTTGTTACCAGAAAAGCAAACACAATGAACTGTTCGTGAGAATTACAGTAACTACGCCCACCTGCTTCCTTCAGATATTTCCACTATTATGGAACTGAAAATATAATCAGCTGCAAAACTCCAATACAAAAATATTTCAGTGGTCCATTTGTCTTGCATTCTGTACTATTACTGTACTTAGGAACCCTTTCTATGCTTACTTGTAGGATAGCAGCTCCAGCTACAGAAGTGGTTCCCTCTCTTTTCTAAGAGCACAGCAGGCTTTTAGTGAAATCTTCCGTAGTATTACTCTAGTCTACTCCCATTGAAATCAATGGACTTAAGTAAATCTGAATCGGACTGCACTGAGTGGTGACACTTTCATCCTACCTTAGCAGACACCAATGTAGCAAAACATACTATGCTATAGATCCCCAAACTTGTGGAGCCCACAAAAAAATTGGAATTTGAGAAAAGGTGGTGGACACCACTGTAAAATGTCTACCAAAGTGTTGTCCACTGGGGTGAAGCCATCACAAAATGGCTGTCAACTGGAGGATGGATCTGCTCTCAGCTTTGCTTTTTGTTTTCAGTTTTCAAATAAAGGAGAGGATTTTCTCCCTGTGAGGTTTTCCAGAGACTTAGTGTCTATGGCCAAGTCTATCCTCTATTGTTGTCTTCCACCAGTAGCAGAAAACGTTTTTGTTTGGTTTTTCATACGCCCAACAACTACTGGTTTTGGTGTTACATAACTTTATATTTTTATTAAATTATTTTACATATTTTAAATATTGCTTTAACATTGAAACAATTTAATGTTTGCTGCCTTGGGAACACTCTTTGGGTGGAAAGGCTGCATAGAAATGTTTTTAATAAATAAATAAAAATGAATAAGCAAAGGGTGCATCGCTGTGACCTCAAGCTCCCTGCTTTTTTTCCATTCTGATTTTTTCCCCAAAACTTAAAGCAACAGCCAGGAAATAGGATGGTAGCACAGACCAATAATGGAAGCCAAGAATTTTCTTAAAGAAAAAAATCCAGATTATTAGAAGAAAGCAAACATGCCTTCTAACATGTGGGTGGGGGAGGCTAAATAAATGCAGGCTCAGTATAAGAAGGCCTCTTATTTTCCCATTGTACACAACGGGGTTTCTGAAGAAAAAGCAAGCTATATACTTCCATAGAAGGATGCCAGCATTTATGGGTATATGACTCCTGGCTACAAAAAAAAAAATTGTGTGTGTGCGCGCGCATGTGTTTGC